AGAGTACCTCGCGGACTGCGTGTGCACCACGGGCGCGGGACCTCGGGCAGCCGCCTAGAGATGCGCAGTCGGGCTGCAGGACACTTAGTGGGACGGGTCAGTGCTCGGGGAGTCTGGCGGAGCTTGAGGCGCCTCCGGACCCCACCTGGTCGCCCTCTTAATATCCCGCCCTCTTTAAAGGAAATGACTCCTACCCAGAAGGTCAGATGGAATCTTCGCGCTGTGACCCTTTCTCCTTGAAGGACCTGCATCTGTGAAGACCATTTGAGACTTGACCTCCACCTGAGTGCAGACAAGATGCCATTTTGTTCGGAAGTACACGCATTGCCCCCAGCCAACCCTACCATGTTTGATGGGGGATTGGTTACAGCCGGAGCATATGGGCATTTTAACCCAATTTTATTATAGTCAACCAAAATTAGTTCGCCTCTGCCAAAATTAACCCCCCTGCAGACATAGCAAAGCACTCCACTAAGCAGGGGTTTCAGGCTGGGTTGAAGATAGATGCAGCTGATTAAAGGAGTGAACGTTTTCAGCTGTCCCCACACCCCCCCCAAAAAAGTTGTCCAGCTCATATTTCCATAATATCAGAGAAATGAATCTTTTGAAACCTACATTTTGTCTAATTTGTCAATGACTTTTTAGTTAGTGAAATGTTGGCGGAATTCAGCTTCCCTTAAGCCCTCAGCTCTCAGCTGTGATGGCAATTGCTGCGAGCCTTTGATCAGTGCTCACCTGTGATGTAATAACAACTACCATTCATGGAGAGCTCTGTGCTAAGCGCTTTGCATGGATTGTCTGACTGAGTCCTCACAGTAACTGGGAGCTATTACTTCTCCATTTTACACATAAGGAAGTGGAGGCTAGAAGGATTTACTAATTTGTCCTCAGACCACAAAGAGATGGTTTTACATCCCTAACTAGCTGCATAGAAAGCTGGGAGCTGAACCAGCATGCCATACTGCCACCTACCTACAGCAGCGCTGGCAGAAGTTCTTCAGCTCAGCCAGCAGACCAGCCGGCATCTGCCCTGTGCCCGGCGCTGAGCCCGCTCCAGCTGGGAATGCCCAGATCCTGGTCTAATTGAGAAGCTTGTAGCAGGGGAACTTTGAACCCGGCTGCCTGGGTAAACTTTTTAAATGAGCAATAAGCCGATAAGTGCTTCACACAGGTTATCCTAATCTGACAAGCACGTACCTAGTTTATAGTTAATGTCCACAGATGCAAAACTCACGTGCTTTGGGGTTGGAGCAGCTGCTCTTGCCCTCTTCAGGTAGAAAAAGAAATGACTTTTTCCGTCTAAACACCCCATGGACGATGAAGAAGAAAGGTTTTTCCAAAACCACGAAACAATGTCTTCTATGTCACTGGCACATAATTTCTCTATGTCTAACTTAACCCCGTTAAATTGAGGCTGAATTTTAAAATCATAATCTCAATTTCTACCATTTGTGATGAATCGCAATCTCACGTTGCCCTTTCTTATTTTATTTATAAATAGAAACTGCGGCTCTGTATTTCTATTTCTAGAAAATATGGGAGAGACCTGTCCCTGTGTTTTCTTTTCTTTTTTTTTTTGAGGTGGTGTCTCGCTCTGCCGCCCAGGCTGGAGTGCAATGGTGCGACCTCAGCTCACTGCAAGCTCTGCCTCCCAGGTTCACGCCTTTCTCCTGCCTCAGCCTCCTGAATAGCTGGGACCACAGGCCCCGCCACCACACCCGGATAATTTTTTGTATTTTTAGTAGAGACGGGGTTTGACCGTGTTAGCCTGGATGGTCTCGATCTCCTGACCTTGTGATCCGCCCGCCTCGGCCTCCCAAAGTGCCGGGATTACAGGCGTGAGCCACCGCACCTGGCCTGTCCCTGTGTTTTCTACTCAGTCCTCCCTGTATTTGTTTTCCACTTCAGCTATTCCCTCGCACACCAGACACACACACTCTCCCTATAGCAGTGGAAGAGTTCGAGGTACTTATATGTATGTTTGCTCTCTGTAAAATGCAGCACAATTCTATATCGGCTTCATCCTGACCATTCGCTCATTCCAAGGGCCCAGATTGAAGCTCAGGAGAGTGGAGACTTCGTTTTGCTCCGTTGGTGGAGAACTCGGACCCCAGTACACAGAACGGTGCCTGACACAAGGGGCTCAAAGGGTTTTTTGGAATGAATGGCACCTTAGGATTGGGATAGACGAGTAAACAATATTGAGGTAGATATTACTAAAATTGGGTGGAAATCAACTGAAATTGGTTTCAAAGAGTGGGAGGTGAAAAAGATTCTTTTTCACTGTCAATCCCTTGCAGCCTAGCTCATGTCAATTATACCCATACTTAGTCCGTAGAAGTTTGCTAGTGGGTCATCTAAGGAGACATAGATAGAAAAGGCAAACATGAGCGAATGTTGAGAAAAAGTGAATTTGAGGGCCAAGTGACCTCAAGTTGAATGTGAATCTGAGAATACGATTTTGTTTCTTGGCTCTCATGCATAACATTTAGATGAAATTTATCCAAAATGATTCATCCTATTCCTTGTACTCTTTAATTTACATGAGAAATAGAAGGAAATGAGAAAGATAAGTTTCATGTGGGTAATTCTGGTCCTGGAGAAGTGGGAGCCCCGCTCTAGATTCTCAGGACCAGAATCTGTGACGAGCAGCAGCCAGACCAAGGGTTCTGTCCCTGAGCCTTGATGACGTCTCCTGTGCGTTTTGCCCCAACACGCAGCATCGCCACACCTCAGCATCTCTCTGTACACTGGAGGTAATAGTTCCTACTTTGTGGGGTCTTCTGTGACACTGGCCATGTCCCCATCTGCGCACCCATCCCCTCCCTGGGATCCTGTGGCCCCCGCTGCTCCGGGACCCAACCTCGTTCACTTCCTTTGGGATTAGGTTGAAAATCACACGGGATGGAAAGAGACGTGCTCTGCAGGCAACCTCTGCTCTCAGCCTCACTGCAGGGCTTTCTCCTTGAGCAAAAGCCACAGCACCTGCTCTCTCCTTAGGGGCCGGGGAGAAAAGACAAAGGGAAAACACAGCAAGAAAGAAAGAAATGTGTGACCTCAAAGACGATCCAGCCAGACATATGTGTGTATGGTATCTACACATTACATCAGTGAAAAATGATGACGCCATCTGGGCTGTGACACAGGTACCGTCAGATCTGTCACAAATATTATGGTAACTAAAGGTTCTCCAGCCCTGCGCAGACTTCCCGCGTCTCAGTCTTTACAGCCACAGCTCTGTCCTGTTGCCAACGTGGCCCCCAAGTCCCCTGTAGCCCACAGAGCATCCCAGGGTGGCTGAGTCGTCCCTGAGCTCTGGGTCTCTGAGGCTGCAGTGACGGCAGCTGGCATGAGGTGGCCTCTGAGACCTCCCTTCTGAATTCTCCATTTCTCCCTGACACACAGTTCAGTCGGCTTCCTACTGGGGTATAAATTGCCAGCTAGTTAAGTGTTGAGCAAGGTACCTGGCCCAAAAGGTAAATAAATAAATGTTTATTTACTTTTCAATAAATCTTAGCTTCCTTCAGTCCTTTTCACTGCCTTGCAAGCAAGGACGAGCTCTGGTGACTTTACACTGTGTCCGCTGAGCCCTGCAGGTCCCATGCTTCCCAGAATTCCTTCCCTGCAAGGTTCCAGGTCCAGTTGGCTGCAGAGAAAGTTGTGTGGGATTTGGAAGGAGGAAGGCAAGTCACCCTCTGCAGCATCTCGTGGGGTTCCAGGTGCTGTGAAGCCCTCAGCCCTCCTTTACCTGAGGTCCCCTTGTCCCCACTGGGCCTCCCCACAAAGCATCCCCAGTCCCGGGTGAGGAATGTGAGAAGGGCACCTGTGGAGAAGGACACCCTCCTTGTCCTCAGGTCACCGGCATGCCTGAGGTTGACGCAGCATGAGACGTCCCGGGCTGCCCTGTCCTCGTGGGCCCCAGGTGTCCCCGTGAGTGCAGTTTGTCCTTACTCTGCCTGTGGGCCTGCCAGTCCCAGGGCCACGGCCTCCCACGGCTTCTCACCAGCCGCAGCGACCCATCATAAATCCCTGGTCCCAGGCTGCTTTCAGAGGCTCCGCTCTTTCATCAAACACTGACAGAGGCGGGATCGTGTGCCTCTGCATCTCCCTGTCCCGCCGGAGAGGGGTCATTTGTAGCGAGCATAGCAATGTGGCTTTCCTTACGGGAACGCACTCCATAAGAAAAGGGCGAATGCCTTGAAAAGTTCCCTTACAGAAGAAGATACTTAAGTAGCCAACAAACATGGGAAGAGGCGCTCAGTTTGCACTGAACTCACGAAATAGCACACCCACTAGAACGGCTGAGGTTGAAAACACATTCACCAGGGCAAGGAGTCAGTAGGACCTGCATCCCAGCGATTCTTCTCCTACAAGGGCACAAGAGGACTGAGGGCCAACGTCCTACAAACGGCACCCACAAGGAACTGCATGCTGACTTGCTCAAACGCAAGAGAAAAAAACTGTAAGTAACCCGAATGTCCATTAGGGGATAAAAAATAAATAAATTTTGGTACTCCCGTATAATGGAAGATTACAGAGTAGTTTAAAAGCCATGAAACTAATGAGCAGTGATGTTGAACTTTTTAAAATATGCTTGTTGGCCACGCGTGTCTTCTTTTGAGAAGTGTCTGTTCCTGTCCTTTGCCCAGTTTTTAAATGGGTTACTTATTTTTTTCTTGTCAATTTGCCATTATCCTCAGCAAACTAACGCGGGAACAGAAAACCAAACACCTCATGTTCTCACTTACACGTGGGAGCTGAACAATGAGAACACATAGACACAGGGAGGGGAACAACACACACACTGGGGTCTGTCAGGGGAGGGCGGGGGCGGCGGTGGTGGGAACAGCCTCGGGTTAAATAGCTAATGCATGCTGGGATTAATACCTAGGTGATGGGTTGTTGGGTGCAGCAAACCACCATGGCACACGTTTACCTATGTAACAAACATGCACGTCCTACACACGGACCCCGGAACTTAAAATAAAATAATTTTTTTTAAACCTGTGAAACTGCTGGTATACACAACATGGATAAATGTCACAAAAACTTATTTGAGTGACAGAATTCAGGTGCAAAAGAACAGTAACATATGGTTGTATTTGAGTGATGTTCCAAAACAGGAGAAGCTAACTGATGATGATAGAAGTTAAATCTGTGGTCACTCGGGATGGTAGTGGGTGGAAAGGGGCAAGGGAGCCTTTGGGCGAGAGGGAAATGATCTGTCTTCCTCTAGTGTGGTTGCAGGGGTATATGCAGATGTAAAAATTCACTAACTGTATGTGAACTTCATATACATTTATATTACACACCACGTTTTTAAGGTTTTGCAAAAAGGGAACTCTTGGATGTGGGAGGACTTTGTAAGGTGGGGTCACTCGGCAGCAGAGTCAGCTCTCAGGCGGGGAAAAGCAGAGAGGCAGTCTGCCCACTGGAGGAGACTCCCCAGACACCTCGCAGGCCTCCCTCCCTCCACAGGGAAGGGCTCAGCTCACTGCCCTGGGCTGAACGAAGTGCCGCGGAGGAGGGCCTGAAGCTCATTGTCCACAGACACTCACACTGCACTGAGGCTTTAAACTGCACGTTTCCACTCCATTCCTTGACACACCTTTGGAAGCTGCCTGTGGCGTTCTTTAACCTCGTTCCACCTGGAAAGGTGGGGACACATAGTGAGACGTTAGGCCTGAGTCACAGATTCTGCCTCAGGAATTTCTCTGCTCTGTCCAGTTCAGCCTGCAAGACTTAAGAACCTCATGTTCCGTTTAAAGTGTGAACTATTTGTTGGGCAGTCCGTTAGATGGCAATGATTAAATTAAATGCTTGAAGTAAAAAGGGTAAAGTGCTGTTGGTGGGAGTGTACATTAGTTCAGCCATCGTGGAAGACAGTGTGGTGATTCCTTAAAGACCTAAAGACAGAAATACTTTTCAACCCAGCAATCCCATTACTGGGCATGTACACAAGGGACTACAAATCATTCTATTATAAAGACACATACATATGTATGTTCATTGCAGCACCATTCATAATAGCAAAGACATGGAGTCAGCCTAAATACCCATCAATGGTAGACTGGACGAAGAAAATGTGGTACGTATACACCACGGAATACTGTGCAGCCGTAAAAAAGAAAGAGATCATGTCCTTCGCAGGGTGTGGATGGAGCTGGAGGCCATCGTCCTTAGAAAACTAACACGGAAACAGAAAAGCGAAGACTGAATGTTCCCACTTATAAGTCGAAGCTAAATGATGAGAACACGTGGACACATAGGGGGGAACAGCACACATGGGGGCCTTTCGGAGAGTGGAGGCTGGGAGGAGGGAGAGGATCAGGAAAAGCAAGGAATGCATGCTAGGCTTAGTATCTGCATCATGAAATAAACTGCACAACAAACCCCCATGACACAAGTTTTACCTGCGTAACAAACATGCACTTGTACCACTAAACCAAAAACAAAAGTTTTGTAGAAGTGTGAAGTGCACACGTAAGCAAATGTGTGGATATATCACATTTCTTATCAGTGTTGCTGATGTGTGTGCTGATTGTGTCAGTCCGTTCCTGCTGCTATGACAAAATCCCTTAGACTCGGTGATTTATAAACAACAGAAATTTACTCCTTACAGTTCTGGAGGCGGGGAAATCCTAGAAAAGGAGAGACATAGGCCAGGTGATCTCAGAGGCCCTTTAAGACCTTCCGCTCTTTCATTCAACAAATACTTACGGGGGTCTTACTGTGCACCGGGCCTGCACAATGTGTTGGGATGCAGCTGTGAACCAAAGTCCCTGCTTCACCCGGCTTACGTTTTAGTGGGATGTGAACCTCTGGTAGCCAACACAGAAAAAAAAAGATTTCAGCAAAGAATTGTTCCCATTTAGAAGTCAGTAGGTGCTCCAGACTGCCTCAGTCCCCACCAGCTTCATCCTACCTTTTCTAGGTAAAATCTCAAATCAGGACCCATGTCTCCAGGACCACAAAGTCTTCACCCACAAAAGACAGAGAAAAGCTCAAACGGCCAAGTGCGATTTGGAGAAACAAGTCCTGGAGGAAAGGGTAGGAATCGCACGGCTCGTTCTATCTCAGCGCTTTGGGCAGAAGCCTCCCTTCAATTCACTTGGCCACTGAAGGCGTGATAAAAACATTTAGAAGCAAGGCCAACCCTCAGTCAGGCCCAAACTGTGAAGCAGGCAACTTATTCTCAGTTAGCTGCCAGCTAATCTCAATTAAAGCACAAGTCAATAGCTTGACATTCTTATAAATTTTAGACTCTCAAGGGACGTGCCCTCAAGGGTGAAGCCATCTCAGAGATGTCTCTAGCACCTCCTTGCCAAGCAGTTTTCCCACTATCCTGGAGCTCGTGCTTGCCCAGGCAGCCCACACTAAATGGGGACCATGCTGAGTCAGGGAAGTTTGTTCCTGCACTGAGCTGAGACCTGGGTTCAGCAGGTGACCTCCTACAGCCCACTGGATGAGACCTGCCTAAAGCCACATCCACCCCTTGAACTTCACTCCACCCCTTGATCCACCCACTGGATCAGCTGTCCTGTGCGTGCAGAGCCACCGGCGTCCTCTGCACAAGATCACTATATGAAGCAGCTCTCTCCCACGTTTTCCTTCTCCAAGCAGACAGCTGTGGCACGTCCAACCATTTTTCATGTGCTGTGTCCTTGAGTCCTCTGTCATTCCTCTGGACACTTCCAGTTGACCTTAGAGAGTGGTGGCCAACAGTAAGTATAATGCCACGCATGTTTCTTTCTATTTAGACCAAGTTGGTCACCTCCCTGCCAGGGCAGATAGGGTAATACAAACTAATATCGCATGAGTTCATTTTAGCCACCTCTCGCAAACTGCCTACAACTTCGTATCTAAAACCCCGAAGTTCTGTTTCAACAGGATTCTTTGGACTCCAAGTGGTAAGACACAACTCAAATCGACGCTGAAAAGGGAAAATCTTGGCTCACTTTATCTGTGAAGTTCAAGGGGTGGATGTGGCTTTAGGCAGGTCTGAAGCCCGTTTTGAATGAAGGTTTTTGTGGCTTTGTCTGTCTCTCTCCATTCCTGCTCTGCTGCCTCAGTTGGGTCTGATTCTCAGCTGGGGCCTCTCCATAGGGCAGCAGTGGCCCCAGGTGCTCCAGTCTTCCATCCTGTCTGGTGACCCTGACGAAAGAGTGTGTCTTTCTCAAGAAGCCTGGCAGAAAGGTCCTGGGAGAACCCTGGCCTGGGTTGATCCCATGTTCCCCTGAGATCCCAACACCAAAGCAGAAACGCAAGTGGACTAATGGGTTAGGGCCAAGTCCTGGGTCTTCTGCCTGTGTCTTTGGCCTCACCTCGCAGTGTCCTCTGGGTTCAGTAGATGCTTTACTCAGGGGACGGAGAGGCTTCGAGAAGCTGAGGCCAGAACGCCTCTTGGCAACTGGCTGGCCTTGCAATATAGCCGTGCCCTTTACTAAAAGAAAGGTTTTCTTTCTTTAAAATCTGGGGGCAGGACTTTTCTGATGCAAACCGTTTCAAAACCATCCTCTGTCCACCACAGTTCGACAGCAGGGTTAGCATGAAAACCGTTTCAAAACCGTCCTCTGTCCACCACAGTTCGACAGCAGGGTTAGCATGGTGCTACTGGGAAAATTACATAAAGGCCAGGAGGACAAGGACAAGGCCCTCTAGGTGTCGGGGGCATTGATGTCCAGCTGCCCAGGAATTCCAGGAGCTTCCAGAAGGATGTTTCCTGAGGATTTGTTGTAATCAATGTATAAAGACATTAAGAATAAGAGTAAATCATTGGCTCACAGGCATGAGGAGACACATGACCTACGTAAAAAGTAGACAATTAAACACATAAAGTGTCACAGGGACGGACGACACATCAGTCCCCGCATCCCATGAAGTCAGGGTTTTCCAGCAACGGGGGACTCGGCTACAGCAGAAAATCCCTGAGAGAGTCCTCCTCAATTAGGAGGGCAGAGGAGAAGAGAGGCTAAGAAAAGCGTCACAGGTCCAGAGATTAAGTCCTTCCCATATACCACAAAAGAGAGGCCAATTCAGGAAAATTCCATCCTAATGGCCGCCCCGGTTGAATATTATCACTGCCGACTGCGAGCAACTCAGTACGTGTGAGTTAAGCTCTCTGCTTCACAGATGAGAGTACCCTCAGCCAATGAGCTGTGGCTTTAGGCTGTGTGATCTGTGCAAATGTATTGTAATTAATTGAGCTTTAAAAATTGATTTTGAATGTCTCAAGGTCTTGGAAATGGCTGTTGGCTTGGAAAAAGGCATCTTCTGAGAAGGTGATCGAAGGTACTTAACTGACACGAAGCATCTCTAAATTTATTTTGGAGGGGGTAATTTTATTTAAAAAAATCTTTGTGTTCAAAAGGGATAAAATTTACAATTTCAAAACATATTTTAGTGTTAGAACAAAATAAAGAATGGCTTAGTAAAGTTGGAGTTGAGTGAGAACATCAGTGTGAGTTCGCACACTCTAAAAGGGTTTCCAATTCTGTCCCCGGAGCACAGGCAGCCCCTACTTCCCTCGTTACCTGTGTGCAGCCTGGACTCAGAGGGAAGCCCAAGGCCCTTGGAGAGAGAGCCCTGGATTTCAACCTCTAATGCTCCATTCCGCAAACAGTGGCCAAAAATCCTTGGAAAGTCGCTGCTTCCATGGTGAAAACGGGGAAAATCAAGACGGGTCCCGCACATCTTGCGGTTGCCAGAGAATGTTTTTCAAAATATGTGAGATCTCGCTAAAGAAAACAAAGAACCTCCACTGGCCAAAGTGAGGTTTTGCACATCAGAAAGGAAGTGCCGGTAACGGTCCACTGGAGCGCAGGAAGCCTTGAAGAGGTTCCAGCAACCCTACGAGAAAGGAGTCAGTCTCAGCTAAACCCGAGGGAACAATCTCGAATGATACGCAGAAACAAAGATATCATTAGAGTAAGGTGAAAAGAATCAGTGTTCATGTGCTTTGTTCATTTTAGGACAAAATGTGTTTTTTAAGATGTTGGCAATGCAGAGATGAAGCGATCCAAACACTAGGGGAAGCACAAGTGTAGAAAATATTAGCGAAGTGAACCCTCAAGAACAATTTTATAAACCAAACTGCCCTTACCATGGGACCCAGCACTCATGCTCTGTGGCGTTCACCCGGCGCACGTGGATGCTTATAGCAGCTTTTTTCATAATTGCAGAAGCTTGGAAGCAACTCAGATGTCTTCAGTAGGTGAATGGGTAAATAAACTGTGGTGCATCCCAATAATGGAATATGATTCAGCATTAAAAAGAAAAGAGCTGTCAAGCTATGAAAAGATAGGGAGGAAATTTAAATGCACGTTATTTGAGTTAAGGAAGACAATATGAAAAGGCTACACCCTGCATGAGTCCAACTCTATGACACCCTGGTAAAGGCAAAACTGTGGGGACAGTAAAAGATCAGGGGTTGCCAAGGGTTGGATGTTGGGGGAGGGATGAATAGACAGAACATAGAGATTCTTCAGACAGTGAAACTACTCTGTCTGATACTATAATGGTGGATACGCACTATTATACAATCATCCAAACCCGTAGAATGTACAACAGCAAGACGAACCTCCAACTCCTGGGCTCAAGCGATCCTCTGCCTCAGCCTCCCGAGTACCTGAAACTATTGGTGCACACGACCACACCTGGTTAATTTTTCAAAACTTACTGTAGAGGCGGGTCTCACTGTGTTGCCCAGGATAATATCAAACTCCTGGCCTCAAGCCATCCTCCTGCCTCAACCTCCCAAAGTGCTGGGATTGCCACCACCCAGGGTCGTCCCTGGTCCTTAGTTGGCAATAAAGTATCACTCTTGGCCTATCAGGTGCAACATCAGTATATCACAGTATATCACAGTAATGCAAGAGGTTTACAATGCAGGACATGGGGGCTTAGTGAGGGGACATGAGAATCCTCTGCACATTCTATTCAATTTGTCTCAAAATAAAATATATTCATTAAAGTAAAACTACTAATTCTTATCAACTCACCTCATAAAATGGACCGATGGGAGACTAAGCCAGTATCCTATAAGCAGACACAACCAGAAATTAAGAGTGGTCCCATGTCAAAGAGGTTTGCCCAAGCATTGCCGATACAGGACTGAACAGAAGGCCGTCCTGGCCGTCTCGAATGTCAATGTTAGCAATAGTTATTTTATTGTGATGTTGAACTCAACATCTATAATGCCATATTTGTTTCTTCAATTATCACATTTGACCTGTCACAAGCTTAATAATATATACTCTTTAAAAAGATAGTTTGTAGATCAAGAACTCCCAGTTAAGCCTGGTAGATGAGCTGCCTGTGTTTGTTGCTCTCCCTTCAAGAAAACTGCTAAACTGATAAGAATTGAAAAGATACAAACCCACTTGTCGAAGGGAGAGGAGACCAACAGCAGACATAAGATTTCAGAGGATATTTGGAGAATGGAAAGAGCACGGAGCTGACTTAGGAAAGCATCCCGGGCTGGGCGTGGTGGCTCACACGGGTAATCCCAGCACTTTGGGAGGCCAAGGCAGGTGGAACCAGCCTGGCCAACATGGCAAAACCCCGTCTCTACTAAACACACACACACACACACACAAAATAGCTGGGCGTGGTGGCAGGTGGCAGTGCCTGTAATCTCAGCTACTGGGGAGGCTGTCGCTGGAGAATTGCTTGAGCCCGGGAGGTGGACGTTGCAGTGAGCTGAGATCATGCCACTGCACTCCTACCTGGGTGACAGAGTGAGACTCCATCTCTAAAAAAAAAAAGAAAAGAAAAGCACTGTGAAGATGGATACATATTTAGATCATGGTGTGCGTTGACCCTCCCTGCAAACTCTTGAGAGGCAGCTGCAGTGAGGAGAGGTGAGATGGGGCAGGAGCTGCTCAGAAACTGATGTGGTCACTGGGCCCCTTCCCCGTGAGCAACCAAGAGACCTCCCCACACCACACACTCTCTCTCTCTGGAGACCAAGGTCATCTTCCAGAGACGCAGCTGCCCAGAGGCTCTCGATGAGGGCACCAGTGCTGAGGCGGGAAGACAAAGCACCTGACCGTGGGGCCTTCTGCCCTGATCTCAATCAGCTCTTCAGCCAACATGTATCGAGTGCGACTTGTCCCAGGCACTCTTTTTTTTTTTTTTTTTTTTTTTGAGACGGAGTCTCGCTCTGTCGCCCAGGCTGGAGTGCAGTGGTGCGATCTCGGCTCACTGCAAGCTCCGCCTCCCGGGTTCACGCCATTCTCCTGCCTCAGCCTCCCGAGTAGCTGGGACTACAGGCGCCGCCACCTTGCCCGGCTAGTTTGTTTTTTTTTTTTATTTTTTAGTAGAGACGGGGTTTCACCGTGTTAGCCAGGATGGTCTTGATCTCCTGACCTCGTGATCCGCCCGTCTCGGCCTCCCAAAGTGCTGGGATTACAGGCTTGAGCCACCGCGCCCGGCCAATCCCAGGTACTCTTTTAGGGGATTTGCTGGTGAACCAAACAGGCAAAGTCTCTGATCTCATGCAGCCTGCATCCCAGTAGGGCAGACAGGTGATAGTAAAAGTGCTGGTGTCCCTGGAAGAAATGACAATAGACACCGGGACAGAGAGCGCAGGGCCGTCTGTTATCGGTAGGAAGTCAGGGAGGCATCTTGGAGGAGGTGAATTGGAAGCAGAGACTTGCCCGGGGAGGAGAACTTCCAGGATACGGGGACAAGAATTCTGGCCATCCAAGGCCACGAGACAGCTGCACGCTGGGCTTGCTCAAGGAGCAGGGAGGAGGCTCACTGGTGCCAGGCACACAGTGATCCAGAGGAAAGCAGGAAATGAGCAGGGAGACTTTTTCACTCATTACATTATCAAAATTCATTCAAGTTGACACATGTGGCTTTAGTTCATTGATTTAAACTGGCAATAGTATTTTACCATGTGAATATTTCACAACACATTCACCACTTATCCTGTTGGTGACATTTAGGTGTTTTCATGTTTTGCCCTCTTATGTTACTGCAGTGAACATCCTTGTACCTGTCTCTTTGTACACAGGTATGAGAGTTTTTCTTAGTGTCTGCATTAGAATGGGATTTCTGTGTCTTAGGGTATTTTCATCTTGAATTTTTGGTTGCATTTTTAAAGCATAACTTTGATGAAATTAAATTTGTAGTGGCCATTTGTGTGCAGTATGCAAACCTTTCCTACCAGCCACCCTATCTCCATTTTGGACCATCTTCCCTTGTGCCTCCTGCTCGAGATCTTTTCCTCCTACCCCGTTCACCAGGGGACAACTTGTGAGTAGGCTGGGCCACTGAGATGCTCTGCAGGGCTTACGAGAGTGGTTTAGGGGAGTGGGAATTACCAGAAGCCAAATTCACCCAGAGGGATGCCCAAGCCGGAGTCTGTGTGCTGTGAGCCCTCCCTCCAGAGAACAGAGCGCCTGCCTGGGCTCCAGCCCTTATTCTCACCCTGCCATTGAGCACATGTATCTGCAAGTGCCGCTTCCTTCCTGGGAGACCTGGAGTCAGACCCTGTGGTTTATGCGGAAGTACTCGGTCGGACTGTGGGGAGAAGCAGAAGAGGGCAGGGAGAAGGTGGAATGAGGGAGGGGTAAGAATAAGACGAGAAGAAAGGAAAGGATGACAGAGCTTTCGCTCTTTTTGTTCATTTTGTAATTCAGAGAGCAAACCTTCCCAAGTAAGCAGGAAAAGCGTCTCTCTTCAGCAGTACTGAAGGCTTTGCTGGCAAAATTTTAAGACACGTAAAAGAATAATGAAATTATTATTATATATAACAATTACAAGGTACTACCTACTAAAATAATGGGCAATGTAGCTTATTTGGAAAAAAAAGTTTGGTGTTCCTGGTTATAGGTGTTTCTCCCAAACAAATACCAATATTATAATACCTTTTACGTAAAACTTAATGCTTTTTCCTTTACCTCCTATTTTGTTTTTGTGATCCTCTAAAGAGAAAGGAGAAAGATCTCTGGTTAAAAAAAAAAAAAAAAAAAAGGCCGGGCACAGTGGTTCATGCCTGTAATCCTGGCACTTTGGGAGACTGAAGTGGGTGGATCACCTGAGGTCAGGAGTTCAAGACCAGCCTGGCCAATGTGGTGGGTGGAAGCCCATCTCTACTAAAAATACAAAAATTAGCAGGGCATGGCGGCAAGTGCCTGTAATCCCAGCTACTCAGGAGGCTGAAGCAGGAGAATCACTTGAACTGGGGAGAAAGAGGTTGCAGTGAGCTGAGATCGCACCACTGCACTCTAGCCTGAGTGCCAAAAAAAAAAAAAGAAAGAAAGAAAAGACAAAATATGTTAATGTGTAATATAAAAAATAATTATGTCAACAAATGTAGAGGAGACTTTTTTCCCTGTAGAAACCAGGTGGTTGTCATGTGCTTTGCTGCATAAAACACTGCCCTATAACTAAGTTATCAACTTATTAATTTTATTAATAAAATGAGATTTTACTATTTTTTAAAAAATCACTTTATATGTGCATGTTTTTGTGGGTCAAGAATTTGGTAAGTCTGAGCCGGGCAGTTGGTCTCTGACACACGTGGCATCAGCGAGGGTGAGGGCACCAGGATCCAGTTGTGAGATGGTTTCTTCCCTCACTTTTTGGCACCCTGGGCTCCTCGCCTCCCTCCCTTCAAGGCATCTTATCCTCTGGGGCTTCCCCACAGGCCTTGGGCTTCTCACTGCAGGGCCTTCTCAGGATTTTACACTCCCTTCTCCTGGCACCGGGCTCCAGGCCAGTGAAGGGCCCCGCCTGGCACGGGCCCAGCATCGCCCTGGAATGTGACCCCCTGCCACAATCTCTCCATGAGAAAGCGGCAAGTTCACATTGCAAATGAGCACGGGCGACACAGATCTCTTTCCAGCAGACTTCAGAAATACACGCAGACACATTGTGAAATCGTGTTTCCTTTTTATTACTTGGAATGGTCTTGGGGTAAAGAGATCCTCAACTAAAAAAACTAAAGGTTTTTTCTTTAATAACTTTTACTTTTTTTACATAACTTTCCTTTGAAATTAGGAAAATCAAGTATGCCCATGTTAACAAGTGAGACTACCCAAAGGTGTGTGTATATGTATAATACACACACATATATACATATATACACACATATATACATATATACACACACACATATATACACACACATATATACATATATACACACACATATACATATATACACACATACCTATATACATATATACACACATACCTATATACATATATACACACACACATACACACATATATACATATATACACACATATACATACACACACATATATACATATATACACACATATATACATATATACACACACA